ACTAATGGAAAATCTTGCTGTTAAATATTTTGAAGATTTTACATGTTATCTGGATGATGGAAATGGTGTACACTTGTTGCACTTAGATTTCCAGCAAGCTTTCGATGAGGTGACACACAAATGATTAGCTAAGAAAATCACATTGGTGGGGGTTGGGGTAGGACTAGTAAACTGAACTGAAGGACAGTAGGTAGAGATAAAGCAAACAATTGTTACTGATAAAGACCAGTAAAATCGGACCATTATTACTAGTGGAGTGCCTAGAGAGATAGTGTTTGGACTTTTGCTTTCTTCTTATTTACAATAATGATATATATATATATATATATACAGGGGAATAAGTAGTAAAGTTTGCACATACATGACAAACATCCAATTATTTCTAGCAGTACTGAAAATTCTCAGGTATTACAGAATGACTTGAATCAGTTGGTTAGTTGGACAAATGACCTTAATTGTAGAGTGCAAGATAATACATATGGGTTACCATAATTTGGATCATACATTCAATATATCATAAAATACAGATAATATGATATCATTTGGGAACAAACTCAACTTGACTAAAGATCAGATCTTGGCAGAGTTTGTAAATTATTCAAGTCAATGATACAGTGCTCTTGTGCTACCTGAAAAACTATCATAACTCCAATGTCTACATATAGATATTGTCAAAAGAAGTTATTAAATTTGTGTACAGATTATTAGTTATTTAAGCCTCACTTGGAATACCGTATACAGTTTTGATCTTATCTAAGAAAAGATATCATTTTAATAAAAATGGTTCAGAATAATACCACAGGATGATTCCTGGGATGGAAGGATTGTCTTAAGGTGACAGGTTAAGATTTCTTATATTTTCTTGACAAAAGAATGGTAAAATATAACCTGAGATTATCCAGGGAATCAACAGTATAAAGGCCTCTGATAGTATGAGAAGCTACAGAATTACGATTTGAAAGAGATGGGCAAAGCTCTAGTTAAGACAGCAAATTAAACTTTTATTTCATCGTTTTGTTTACCATACACTTATTATTCCTTCTATTGTTTAGTTCAAGTATGAAGTTTTAGTCACATTAAAGTGTTAACTCACCTTCTATCTAAAACATGTTGATTTTGAGAATGTTTGTTTGTATTAGGATACTGACATGAGCATCCCCTAGCTTACAGATATTAATGTTGTGAAAAATTATGTTGATTTATAGTAATAGCTAGTCAAATGAGATGTAACCTCATGGTCTAACCACTAAATAAAAACCCTTCCTTGACCTTAAACGAGTTAGTTCATGAGATATAGTTAGAAAGAATTACTGCTAACTATTGCTTGACTAGCACAGACCCACAGAACATTGGCAGTCAAAGTAGTGTCTTTAATGCAATAGTACTTCTTTAAATACAGGATTTCTATAATAATACAAAGGAATCCTAATCACAAACATCGAAATCTATAAGTCCACTTGTCTTAGGCTTAATATTAGTTATGCCTTTATTAAGTAAGGCCATGTTTGATAAAGAGATATAGTAACACGGTAACTTTTGTACAGTTTTTCCATCAGTTTAGTTAGGGCTATACTTTACCATACTTAATACTATCAATAAATAAACTTATAACCTTATTCTATGACCTAACGTTAGATCTTTCTAAAACCTTTGTTAAGAATTTAATGTTGTACAAAATGTCTACTAAAGTATATTTACATCAGACTTTTGTTTACATCCATTGAAATAAAGCACGTAAGAAAGCACATTTAGATAGTAAGGTTCATATGTTCAGGATAGACAAAAACTGAGTATTAGTGAAATAGATGTTATTGATTTTGAGAAGTGATTTAATTTTGGAACATTGTATTATTCTCTGGAAAATTAGGTTTTTTCTTCTTCTGATATCTATTTAAATTAATAACATAGAGATTTATGTTGTATTATTTATTAACAGGCACAAGTTTAAACATTTTTTTTTATATTTTAAATAAGTGATAAAATTTGCATTCTAGTTGTTTGAAAGTTTTATTTTGGAATTGTGTTGTTATATTCTAATAAACTGTTTTTTTGTTTGACCCTGGTTGTAACGACATTTTGTTTAGTCTGTTACAACCAGTTTTATTTTTCTAATAGAGTGATTGGCAGTAGTGGAGACAGGCACTTTAAAAAGTAATAAATAATTAACTGAGAAATAAAAGATGGGTCAACCCTTTCAAGACAGGTCACAGTTACAGGCCATGTCATCTTGTTTGCTGACTCACATTCAAAATTTTATTTAACTACTATTTCATGAACTTATGTCAATAAGTTTGGTATCAAACTGTAGATTATAATTCAAATTTTAGTACTCTATATTACTCAATTTCTTATATTAAAATCAAATATTAAAAAAACAGAGATAAACATTGATTTTTGTGTGTCACGTGGTATGTTGAATGTAGCACTGGGTCAAATTAGATGTTTGTGAAGTCAAAATATTGACAAGCTAGAATATAAAATAAGAAAGAGGCATAATTTATATTTATTTCTTAATTTTTTACGGTGGTTGTGAGATTGGTCAAATCTACCGAACCCATATAGAGATTAATTACTGAAAATAACGGATAAAATATAAAGTTTTTTCTTAAGAAATGTTTGATAACTATCTGGACATTATAATGATTTTGCATGTCAAATTTCAAAATTCTCTAATGCATAAAAGTATTTTATGTCTTAAAATGAATATTACTTTGCATGACAGATAGACAACATGTGAAAAAAAAAAGACATGAGAAAAACATTGCTCTACAAACCATAAGACTAAATTGATATTTTGTGTATGAAAGCGTTGTAATGTTTACTGAAAATCTACCAAATTTTGTTAACATTACCTTTCTAATTTAATAGTTATACCATGAAAACTATAACAAGCACAAAATGGTTATGAGCCAGTGCTGAAAGTTTTTTTTCTTTCGTTCAAGTTGGGTATGCAAGCTGAGCATGAAGGACCAAAAGTCTGTGTGTGACATTACGACACCCAACCTCCTTCAATAACCAGAAAACTAGTCATTAAATCAAGCTCTGATCCCCCAAATATTAATCAGTAATTTTCATAAACTTCTGTACTTTCATACTCTATTATTCTAGATAAAAAATTGTTACAATAATTAACCAACCTGGTGAAGAAATAAAATTGCCCAACTGAAGGCATTTCTGAACTTTTCAAATCTTAAACTTATTACCACTTATCTTCTTGCCCTCGGAATTTAATACCAAACAATCTGATGTCTCAATTTTTTCAATTCACTTAATCATAACAGTTTAATCAGTTCAGACCTGATCTTTCTCCTTTCAAAAGAGACTTGAACCTATTTTCAAATGACAATTGAGACATCTCCAAAATCATCCTACATGTAGTAACATTCCTCTAAATCTTCTCCAATAAATCAATGTCAAAACTAAGATATCTGGACTGAAACTGCACACAATACTCCAAATGAAAACTATTCTGCTAATTTTAGAGAATATGCATTGGACCTGTTGAAGTCTGCTGATATGCATGAAGTTAAGATTTTCATAAAGAAATCCTAGTTAATTTAAGAAATAAGCAATATGGACACATCAAACTTTATCTTAAAATATATGTTTATAACATGAACCCATAAATTTCTTAAAATACATGTTTATCAAATCAGAAAAAATTATACAATTATCTTACACAACTATACACACTTATAAACACAAATTAAGCACTAGTGACAAAATTAGCTGCCAATATGATGGAATTAAGTCATTCTTTAATTATTATTCTCACAGACTTCTCTAGTACAATCAATAACTAGAATAAAATTTGCACATTGTAATATATCTCAAAAAAAGATTAATTTACTACACCCTCTCTCTATCTTATAAAACAATGCATTTATAATAAGTTTTTCATGAAACTAAAAAATAAAAGTTTACCAATGAAAGTTGGCAAAATTTGGATGACTAATGCAGTGGTGTAACTAAGTCTCTCAAAGGTGTTCGAGATAAAAAATTCTGTTGCATTCCCAATGCTGTTGCATTTACCACAACTGAAAGAAATCTACAAAGGCTGATAATCCTGTTTGGAAAATAAAATCTGCCTAGTTAGCAGATTACGTTTACCTTGTGAAATCTGAAATGTACGTCCCTCGGTTCTACCACTTTTGCCATTAAAAACACACAAAAGATGATGTATAAATCAAATCCATTCCTTCTATAAGATTCCCTGTGCCTTTCTTTTCTTAAGTGAAAATAATTTTAAGAACCTTAACCTGTCCTCATATGAAAACTCCTCCATTCTTGGAATAATCCTAGTAGAGAAACTTACTGTTTTAAACAACATTCTAAATTGAATCTCCATTAAAAAAACCTAAAATTAAAACCTGGTTTGACAGGACGAAGTGTTTTAACTGAAAAGGCTCAGAAGTTGTGTTAAGTGTTATGTTACAAAACAAAGAAACAGATATTATAGATTTTCTTACCCCACTAACATAAGCATGCAACACTCATTTGAAGTCCTATCATGTTTATGTTTCTGCCTTTGCTTCTAACATCCAGTGTCAAAGGAGACGTCAAACTTAACAGTGAGAAACAGTGCCACTAACCATGACTAGTAACTGCTAATGACTAACGTCCTACATCAATTATGTTTGAGCGAGGTGTATTTCCAATAGCTTGTTCAAAATATTTGAATAAAATGTTAACATAAAAAGTGCTGTAACAATGTAACAAAATTACAACTTATAACACTTAAATATGTAAAAATATTAACAACATTACTAATCTAGGTCAGGTTCAATGCCTCTTCATTATAATTCATATTACCTTACAAAACTAAAGCTACATTCAACTTCAACTGTTCAAGTTCAATTGAACAGTCATGTTGGAAATCTAAGGATAAAGTGGTATATACTTAGCAACAAAACATGTAACCAAACTAAAAATAAAGCTGAAAAAACTATAATTTGTGTATAAATTATGCTTAAAAGTTAAAATAAGTGTAAAATACTAACAGTAACATCGTTAGGGTCTACATTTCTGCATTAGAATGGAACCGTTTCGTATATGTACTATAGTAAATGTTGTACGGGTAGCAGTATCTCCAACGGGTCCAACAACAGTCCTACTTTTACCAATACCAGTGTTCGTTCACTGTTAAAATTTTCAATTCAACTTTGCAAAGCCAAATTCAGAAACACATTCAACTCATCATTATACCAATCAAGCAAAAGCGTATTGTAAAAACTTTTCAAACGTGAACATACTAGTTTCGTACTACAACAGGTACATCTACGATACCTATATACATACAATTTTATATACAACGTAAGCCTGAAGTTAACACTGAACAGTTGGCAGAAAAGAAACTTATTAAATAGCCTGTAGAGGGCCCAATGTTTGTGTATTGTATTTATTTATTTTTATAGTTTTGTGAAGCGCTAAGTTACACAATGTATATTTATTCTTATACGAAAATCACATGCTCTCTGAATGCCTATATAAATGCTTCGTAAATTAACAGATAAATTTTTACTATAAATACTTTTTTAAAAAGTCTCCATTTTTATGTACAACAGACTTGTAATGTTTATTAAAAGCTTGCCAAATTTCGTTAAGATGCAATTCGTAAATTGAGAGTTTTAGAATATATTGCTTCATAGATTTACATGATCAACAAACTAGTACTAAAAACAAAGAAAATAGAAGAATGAAGCTTCTTGTTTTCATTAAATTATAAATAGAAATTGAAACAGGTCTGTTAGTCCTACAAAATGAGCATGAATGTGGCAAACTTTTTTCGAAGAAATTAATTAATTATCTTTAAATGGACCAAATAATTAAAAAAAACTGACTAAGTGACAAAACATGTTATAACATTTATGTCAGAAGTGGGATTACTTTGATGAGCATTGATAACTACTTTATCCCACGAGGTTTTTGAAGTAACACATTAGATGGAAGTATTCAAACCGAAATTCCGAAACAGATTAAAGAGGAAAGAAGAGACCTTAACCGAACTTATAGAATATTTGTAAAAGTTTACCCAATTATTTTATCTAGATGATCGCTATCAAATGATGGTTTCATTGACACATAACCAAACTATAGATGCAATAACAGACGAGGATATGAGAATTAGGTTGGAGTAAAATAGGTGTACATCTTCAAGTATAGCTCAGCAGTTAAAGTTACAGAGAAGCAACTAAAGGTACCACCTAAAAGTTACAGGATCATTAGTTCAAGTTGTTAGACATAATGGAAGAAAAACACACAATACAATAGATGTTTCAGGAACTGCAGACAGAAGGTTGTAGGGAATAGAAACACCTCTCAAAGGATGTCAGAAAAATGAAACACTTGTAAGTATGGGAAACATGGCCATTATAGCCAAGACTGCAATAAATGAGCACCTGCTATTGAACCAAAGGTACAGACCCCAACTATATCAAAGGAACAACAAAGAGCTAACCAGACATTGAGAAAACAGGAATTAATTGGATTTATGGAATGAAGTTTAACTGGGAATACTCCAACTGAAACCTTGCAGTGTGCTAATCAATACTGTTTCTACAGCTATAATTGTTAAACGAGATTTGATAATGAAAGATGGGAAAGTGCCACCATAGGCGAAGAAAGAAGAGGTATTGTTGTGAACAGCAAGTGAATACAAATTCTCAGCCAGAGAAAAGTCAGAAGTTACTCTTACTCTAGGAAGCTTTTCTACACCTCATTACGTGTGGGTAATTAACATTAAAGAAGAGTGCATTTTGAGAACTAATTTCATATGGATGTGAGGTTAAACTCGCTTCAACAAGCTTCACAGTCTATGAGCATAAAATCCCTGTGCACTACCTGGCAAATATCACACCAGATGTTGGACTTCAAGTGACAAAAGGAAGGATGATCACTGAACCACCTAAAAGTAAAATACTTATGCTACGTATTATTAGGAACAGAATTTTATCTAGTGATTGGGGTGTACTAGAACAAAACACTTTGGCATGTCCTGATGGATTAATAGTTGGAAAATTTCTCATGAATTTTAAGAAAGACTTAAACTAGCTTGTTATAAAATGGAAAATCACTATGACATTTAAATGCTGATAAGACTAGATTTCATTGAAATGACATATTATGGCTAAACTATTTTCATCACAAAGCAGAATGAGATCTAAAGTTTATTAAGTTTTAGAAAGGACCATACATTGTACTAAACAGAATTAATGATCTAGTTTACAGAACCCAGAACGACAGGTCAAAGGTCATCCATGATGATTATCATCTTTGAAGTGACATCAGTGAGGAAACGACCACGAGTTAACCCTAAAGAAGAAGTTGCCAGCAGAAATTCAACCCATGGAACAGTCCAGGCTTTCTGTAGAGACTACTTCAGAAGTTCGCCAAGAATAGAGCAAGCAGTGGATTCGTTTGGTCACTTATCCAAGAAGAACTTTCCCTTTGACAGAACAACAAGTGATGATGTGGGAAAAGAGGCTATACCCTTTGTATACCATAATACAAGGGAAAAACAACTAAACATTTTTGTTGAAAAGACAGTTTAGTATGCTGTTTTATTTGTGTATTGCGATTGTTAAAGAAATTTTACAGTCCACGCAAGAGAAGTGAAGTGCCTTAAGATTTATTTTTAATGTTTTTAATGTTTTAATGTGTTCGTTTGTTAATTTTCCGTAAAAATTCTTCCCGAAGAAACTTTAGTGATACAAGTCCTTTCTTAAATACAACTAGTTTATTCTTTCTTAATACAACTTTTCAATACACTTAATTTCTACAGTCACGCTATAATTTAAACAAACGCTATAATTCACAATGAACGATTCATGCGCTTGACTCAATTGTCCGTCTCTATCTCTGTCTGCAATTCAATTACATTGTTGCCATCACTTCTTGGTGGTCTTATATACAAGAATGCCGCACATCTAGTAAACACTCGAGACTTCACGAAGGGACATGAAATTTTTAGAAGCTCATGACATGTTACCAGGGTCACGTGACTACCGCTGTCGTAACACTATATATACTTGATGGGAGGGCATGTTGTTATAATATAGAAAGTTTTTGGGGTGAGTAGAAAGCGAGTACCATGTAAATAAGAATAAACTGAAACAGTTATTCAATTGGTAATGCATTTGAAGTTAGCATATGAATTAATAAGTATTAAACGAATTTAGTTCAGTATTATTTGAGAATAAAATAGAGAGTAGCGTCTTTTAATTAGATTCACTGGAAGTTGAAAGTGTGATTTAATTATAATAGAAATGCAATATAATGTCTTTTTTACTTGAATTCATTGGACTTTAACAGGTATGAATAAATAACTGCTATGAAGAAAAAGGAAGCAGTGTGTTATATATCTAACATCAAGGTGGCCACAGTCTAATAGCTAGTTGTTTTTGTTCTCTGTATTATTTCAAATACCTGTGCCAGGTCTTTCTTGACTATTGTAATTTTAGTATAAAACTGCAAGTTCCATGACCTCCTTGAGTTGGTCAGATTTATCCCAGCCATTCAACTCGTCGTCCTCTTTCTGATACGGAGTCCAGGTTTCCATCTAATTAGCTGTCTGAGCTTTGCAGTGTTGTTTAAGGTGAACCACTGTTTTTTAAAAGTTACAAATGTTACATGTGGTATCATAGCTTCATTAATGATGAGGGCAGTAAAGAGGGGGTACATGTCCTGACATTTTCGTTCATCATTATGGAGGTCAACTGGATTATAGAGATTGATGTTAAAGGATTTATCCTCAGTCTCTTGAATGCTTTTGCGGACTTTAATACTGGGAAGGTTTTCCCACAAGCCCCAATTGTTCATTTCACTGAAACATGCTGATTACTTCTTTTGCCCTCTTCTTCTCCATCTTGATACGTGACTGTGTCTTAGTTGACAAAGTGTGCTGTGCAGGTTGTGAAACTGGCAGATTGGGCTCTAGAATGCCTTGCTTGTTAGGAAGCTTCTATGGTTGATTTCGGAACTGTAGGTGCAGCTGCTGTTGGGTAGGCCTTGAATGCCCTGATGTATCAACCAATAATAGCTCTTCTTTCATTTTCTCTGTTTCAGCATTCGATAATTTTAAGTCAGTCCTTTGTACTGAAGCAAGCAAGTAATAACCTTTTGCAATGAAATTTTAGGTTGGTTAGCAACATAATTAAAGCAAGAAACCTCATAAAAGCCTAGTTAAAAACAATATCATCAGAAAAGCCATAAACGTACTTTTACATAGAAAAAAAATATGGACTGACAATGGTTTGTCAATTTGGTTTATCAGAGTTCAGCTAGAACTGCACATTTGAAAGTTGAAGCAGTCCAGTTTCAACTGGAAACTGCTTCATAAGTAGATTTTAAACATTCACTGTCAAAATGTTTACCATAATCGAGTGTTAATTAAACGCATGAATGTTCTGGTCCAGTAAATCTTCTATGAAACATACACCTGATCAATATAAAGCCATGCTTTCTTCTGTATTGTTTCCTTGTGGTGAACACATATATTACTAACTAGTGTTTGAATGTTATATAAAAAGAACCCAGTTATATTTTGTCTTAATCCAAAACTGAAAACATTTTTGCTGCTAGTATCAATGAAAATACTGGATACTCTGTATCTTCCTCTCATGAGGCATAGTCAGTAACGATAGTTTCAATTTAAGTGTCATTTTCTTAACATCCAGATCAAATTCTTATTTTGTGAATCTTTAGTTGCCGAACAGCTGTGTTCTCTGTGTGTTTTATTCAGTTGTGAGATACAGAACTCATGAATAATATCATATGTAATTCCTATATACATGTACAGTACCACACACACACACACACATATATATATATATATATATCATATATACGTATAGTAGTCGTTTACGTTAAGTACTACCAACGAGTACGTCCGACCCAAGTGTACTTTAGTAGAAGTTACGGTAACCTAGTTT